ACTAATTATTTTTAATTTATTAATTTTTTTAACTTTTAAACTTTTAGAACTAAATTATTGTATGTTAGTCTTTGAGAATTGATTTTGTAAATATTTTATTCTCATTTTAATAGAAAATTAATAAATTTTATTAATTTAGGGGTTAAAATTTTTAAATCCTTAAATTAAAGATTTAAAATTTTATAATATAAGGTAAAAAGTTAAACTTTCAATCTTACTAGTCTTAGAGCCCATTTGGTGTGGCTGGAGCTTTTGATAAAAATGCTGTTAGAAAGAATTTGTTGTAAAAGTGCTGTTTTTGAGAAATTGAGAGTGTTTGGTAAAATATTTTATAAAAGATCTTTTAATGCTAAAATAACTGAAATAGACATTTTTATTTTAACCATCAATCCCACTAATTTTTTTAATATTTTTATTTAGCTTTACTTTTATAATTAATTTAAGGTTGATGATTAAAAATTAATTATTCATATTTAATCACCACTCCCACTCTAAATTTTTTTATATTTTTATGATTTTATTTTTATAATTAATTTAAGGTTGATGATTAAAAATTAATTATTCATATTTTTAAACATAAATACTAGATAAATGCTTATATTTTAATATTAAAAAATAAAATACACTACATTTAAGTCATATAAATAAGACAATTAAAAGTAAAATTAAAATTTTTGTCAAATAATCATCTTGATTGATTTTGCATTAAGGATAAATCTATGAAATCTCTAAGTGAAATCATGTTGCGATCCTCCATTGTACAACAAAAGTACTTTGAGAAATTCCTTAATCTATGCTCTCTTCTCCAGGCACTTCAGGTATATAATTTAGGTTCTGATCAAACCTATCAAATTCTTTATCTCTGATTGCATGTTGCCTAATATAATTATGAAGTGCAATTGTTGCAGCTACTATCTTCTTCTGTGTTGTAAATGACTAACTTCGCATGCCGAACAGTATTTCAAACCTATTTTTCCAACACCCAATAGATCCTTCAATGACATTTCTAAGACAAGCATGAGTATGGTTGAATACTTCCTTGATAACCGATTAGTTGGCTTCCACGTCTAAAATCAAGAATGTGATACCTTTCTCCTTGATAAGGTGGCAAATATCCATTTATATTAGGATAACTAGCATCAACAAAATAATATTTACCTAAAATATAAGAGAGAGAAGTTATTGATAATAAATACGAAAAATTTTCTTAAGAATTGTGCTTAAAAACTATAACACAAAATAAATAAAAAAGTATTACCATCAGGAGGATGAGGAAACACATCCTTATGATTTTCTAATATATGGGTTAAAACACGTGCATTATGAGTAGATACAGGCCACCCTGTAACTACAAATGTAAATATCATGTCAAAATTACAAACTACAATCACATTTTGAGTGGGGATGCCTTTGCGACCTATAAATGGTATTAGGTCTTCTTCAGGGATGGCGGCTTTAACATGCATACCATCAATTGCACCAAGACATCCTTTAAAATGAGGCCAAAACCTACTATCTTATCGAATCTTATTGGGAATTTCGGTAAAATTATAATCAAGTGGTTTCACAATGTCACTTGAAAACCTCACCATTGCATCAAGACCCTCTTGAAATTTTCTACTTATTGTTTCTCTTGAATGTTAAAACGATTTTGCACATTTCGATTAGATTGATTATGTGCACATGTCCAAAGAAACATTGCAAGTGATTCTTCTACACATATTTCTCTTGTTGATGTTAACCCATAATTACTAACTAACAAAGAACATAATCCCGTAAACACATGTGATTCCATTCTAAATAATTTACAACTTTCACCTGGAGTTGCCAATGTCTCTTGCACCCATTGCCAACATGAAAGTCTTGAAACTTTTCTTTTTTGTTTGTTAAGATATTTTGAAATATATTTTGAAGATATTAAAGCACCTAAGTGAACAAGAGAATAAAAGATATTATCTCTTGTTCGTCTACCTTCCACCTGCTTATCTCTTTGTTCTATAGCTTGTTCCTCTATCTCATCCTCATCATTATTTTCTTCCTACACCTCACACTCATCACTATTTTCATAATTCACCTTGGATCTAAATCCATCTACCAAGAAAAAGAAAAACATTAGGATCCACATATGAACACAAAAAACCAATCTAATTATTTTTACAACTAAATTAAAAATGTGAAAAAATAAGATAACATACCTTTGTACCTTTCTCTTAAGTTGAACAATAAATGAACTCTTGAACTCTTTGACATAAATTGAATTTGGGAGAAGTGCATGAGGGTGTTGTAATTTAAATAGGGGGTTGTGTTTTTATGTATGTTTAGATTTTTTTCCATATAATTGAGAAATCTTTTCTTAAGACAAGCTTTTTTTCCAGATGATTGAGAAATCTTTTCTTAAGGCAGGCTTTCTTCCATGTGATTGAGAAATCTTTTCTTAAAACAGACTTTATTTTTTGGTGTGATTGAAATACAACACTTATGCAATACATGCCTACAGTTCCAACGCATGCATTGAAATCAGCTCTTGGACAGTGCATTGCGTACTGTCCTCAGCTGTTGTCCTCAGCTATTGAGATTCTGCACATTGCTACTTTTGATATAAAAGGTAAAAAGGTTTACTAGCCCCTAAAATTCTTTGATTGTAATGATTTAACACAAAACTTATTTTTATTTATAATCTACACTTTTAATTTCAAAACTTATGCAAATTGCCCATTCCCTTTTAGATAATGTGGACACCATTAATTTTTAAATTGTATGAATCATATTATTTTAACTTTTGATTAACTTTTACAAATTAACAAAAAAAAAAAACTTAATATTTCAAGATAAGTGATAATCTAAACAAGGATTAATATGGAATCCTTATTTGAACTATAAATCACTAGTCTCATTTTTAAGCAACAACATTATGAAAAAGACATAAATTCATAACATTAGTCCACATACAACGAAAATACAAATAAAAAAGAAAACAGTTTTGTATCTCAAATACAAGCATTACGATTGTCTTAATACTAAAAACTCAAATACAAACATCCTAGTAATACCTTCTACCATCGAATCTCTCCCTTTCCATCTCAAACCTTATCTTGTCCCTTTCCAACTCTTGCTGTAGCCAAGCAAGTTTTGAGTTAACTGATTTTATACTCCTAAAGATATTTCTATATTCTTGTTTCACAAACAAATGAGTACCTAACATTAAAAGCTCATTACCATCTTCAACTCCAGGTAAAGTTAACAACATCTCCATACATCCTTCAGTGGTATCATGATATGTTTTATAATTTTTCTTTGATGAATCACTCAAAGTAGTTGTGGTATAACTTTCAACTGCATCATAAAAACGATTCAATTGTTTCTGCATGTATGCTGCACCCCCTACCTTCACTTTCTTCCCTTTGCCGGTAAGTGAAGGACCAATTGTGTTTTTCTTCCTTTTTTCACTGCTTCCACCAGTTTGTGTTGGGATGACATTCACCTCATCAGAATCACCACTTCCTTCTTCCAAATCAACAGCATCTTCAAATCCGACATTCTGTTGTACTGGAGGAATAGGCCCAGCAACTGGAGTCCATGCAGTTTCATCGGTGTCTACTATTTTGTCAAACATTTGCTGCAACTCCACTGTGTTTTCTAATCCATGATGCTCAAATTTACCATATTCTTTGTTCTCCTATAATAAATATATAACATATTAGAAGTTTAAAATTAAAATTAGCAAAGTCACATGCAAAAAACTAAAAATCATTAACAATAAAACACTACAACTAACCGCTTTCAATTCAACCCATCGTTGAGGAGTAGCATCAATTGTGCCTTTCTCATAATTCCACCCTAGTCCTGTTTCTCGCTTTAAGAGTTGATTCCACAAAACCCAATCACTTTTTAATGCATCCCACCGATTTCTTAGTTGTTTATAAAGATAATGCTTGTTTGTTCTTTCATTAAATTTTTTTTCCACATTTGTCCACCCTAATCTATTAAAAGTACTATTAGGACGATTACCGGCAATGACCTCTTCCACACATATCTCGCAGAAAATTTTTATTGTAAATGCATCCCACACTGCCTTTGACCTTTTTTCAGCCATCTTATATATTGAAATAATTTTTGCCTTAAAACAAGATCTACAAACACATAGAAACAAATGTTGAATAATGGAAGTATAGATACACATAATAACACCAAAAACA